TAAAATAGTCTAACATTACTAATAAGAAAGCATATGAAACATTTTATAGATAGCTTAAAGAAAAGTTAATTCATAATGTGAAGAATAACCTGAGGAAATATTAAACAATCTAAGTCTATGTTATGTGAAAAAAAATAAACAGAAGGTAGATCATTATCATTAAATATTAGTATGACTTAGCAGTATATCATATCTTTGGCTGTTGCAGACCTTTTAATGATATTGCACTTTGACTCGGTGAAATGTTTCTCACCTGAGGATTCCAGCACAACTCAAATATTTTACTGTAAACGCACTAAGATAATCATTGCTTCATAATAATGAAAGTCATTATAAATTGAAACTAAACTTGATGCCAAAAAATGAATTTTATGCAGAATATATCCTAATCTCTTGAAGCAAAGGTTGCCATTATCAGTCATATAAAACTATTTTGTTTATTTTTAATTGTGGTAATATTTGGATATTCCTGTCAGGTTATTGCCACAATAGTGGCAAGTAGTTTGTTTGGGACAGATGACTGCTTTCTTTGGTCCTACAGTGGAACTTCTCTCTGTTAAGTCCTGTAGGAAGGGGACCCCGTGGAGCATGGTGGAGGATTATTGGGGCTTTGGTGGTGGGCATGGTGTGAAAACATACGTTGTAGATGTTTGAACCTACAATCCCTAAAGCAAATAGAATGTTGTGAACCAACATTATCTCATAAACATTGAAAGGGGGGGGGGGAGAATATGCACAAGTTATGGTTTTAGTTTAATGTTAATTACAGGTCATTCTACTTTATAAATAATAGCTGGGGTCATCATCAGACAAAATGCCAAGAAAGTAGTTTTCTCCCTCAATCGAATATAAAGGAAATAGCTGTCTTTAATACACACAAACACGTACTTGAGTTTCTCCTTCCCTTCCTGTATTATCTGAGGATTGTGCCTTTTAATAGTGCCTTGCTAATCCCTTAAATAGCTCTTAATGTAAGTATTTCATCGTTTTCATTAACCATGAATTTCACCCTTAAAAAAACCCTCAATTCATACTTGGATGTTGTTTCACTAGCACCCTTTTAGCCTGGTCGGTGAAGCAGCAAGCCTACTGTAAATCCTAAATAGCTTGGTGTAGATGAGAGTCTAAGACTTTAATTATATGTCATTTTATTCACAACATTCAATTCCAGGAAAGAAAAAATGACTTTGTTGTTGTAAAAGACTTATTATGTGAGTATCATTCATTGTAAACCAAAAAATGATACTGTATTATAGCGTAGACAACAATGGGAACTGATTCCGTCTGAGAAACTGAATAATAGTGAAAGTTATCAAAATGGAAAGAAGCGTTAATGTGAAATCCAGCCTTCTCAGAAATACTCTTTCCTGGCCTGCTTGGTTTTGCTTGTGTTGCTTGTCATGCATGAATGAAAGTGCTACACTCTCAGGGGAGCAGGAAAGCCTCTGTGTCAGTTGTTTATTTCCTTAATCCCTCCTCCTTTGTGATTTTTGATGTTAGATCTAAAATGGAAAGCCTGTAAATATAATGATTATCACATGGATAATCACCTGCATCAGGAACCGCCCTGCTTCTCAATTCTAACCCTAGCCGTTCTCCACATGTCACATCCACTCTGTGGTTGGATTTTAACCTGACTGCTTCATTAGATTTGTGAAACTCAGTACGTGGCGCCCTGGGGCAGCACAGATGGGGACTTGCTTGTTTTCTTTTCTCACTTACTGAGAAGGCACACCAAAAAGTCCTTTTCAATTTAGTGTGATCAGTTCACTTGAAATTATCCCTGATATTTGGAACCTGCCTTACTCTTCTACCTACTGTCTGTGCCCTTTTTTCCTTCCCTGCTTTCTGACCTAAAGCTTTTTCTTTCTGCTAGTGCATGCAGTGAATGTGAGGATGAAAATTCTGCTTAAAATTCTTACTGGGTCAAACTGTTTCCCTATGTTGTTTTATTTGTTTTGCTGAGAGGGAAAAATAAATGTTGTTCCATCATTGTATCTACAAACACCTTTAGATCAGAGGTTAGCTGTGGGAAAGTCTGCAATGATGTGAGCCAGCTGCCTTCTCTAATGGAGTGACTGGGGGCACAAGCCCAAGATCAAAGGAAGGTGGGAGGAAGTTAGAAGATAAGATCTTTCTAAACCTAGGAACAAGTGCTTAGTTTTTCAGCGATAGGGCACAACTCTGCAAACTTGTGTGAGGAGACGCTGAGATAGAAAATTTAGTTGACTTTTCTTCATCATGTCCTTTCTTTTTTTTTTTTTTTTTTTTTTTTTTAAAGATTTATTTATTTATTTATACATGCACTGGGTACAGTCAGAAGCGTGGGAGGGTGAGAGAATCCACCAGAGCCAGAGCGGGGAGCAGAGCAGGCAGAAGGACCGAAGTACACTGCTGAGGGGAGCAGCGGGCGGCAGGAGAGGTCTGCGCGCCATGTGGGACCCTCTTCTGGTGGCCGGGGAGTAGCCGGGGATCGAACCAGCGCCACAGAGGCTGCGGGCAGCTTCGCAACCCAGCGCTCAACCGCTGCGCCACCGGGGAGGCCCCATCATGTCCTTTCATAGTGAGAAATATGTGGGCATTTGGAATAGTTTACAGATGTGGAAGTACTATAGAGCCTGGTTTCCTTAAAGAATAATTATCTGATCTGTGTTTTCTTGCAATTAGTCAGTTCTACTATACCTGGACACATCACAGTTAATTGCTTCATAAAATGTGTGGGCAAAACTGGCCATTGTGAAAGCGATTTAACTACTATATGTTAATTTTTGAATTTTTATGTCAGTGCAATTTTAGTCATAAAGATTCTTCATATTAACTTTATCTCATTGTCCTCCAAGTCTCTTGTGTCTATGAAGAAGTTCCTTCCACACAAATTGTTCTAGCAGAGTTTCTCAGTTGTCTTTTTCATATAAAAATTATTTTGGTTAATTCTTGTATTTAAACAGCTTGGAAAAACTCTACATTGTTATCTTTTGAACTTTATTCTTTTCCCTGACATCTAGGACTGCAAGATTTATTAAGTAGTTTTTGCTTGCACCAATTGTCAAGATCATAATTCAACTTTTTTAATCTACAACCAACTAAAAGCAACTCAATCAAACTTATGCTTCTCTAGAGAACAGCTTAAGGAGTTGTACTCTTAGCTTATCACTTCTGTTAACTTCAATATTCAGCTGTAATCATCTATTTCAACCTTTGCAAATCCTCAAAATATATTCTCTAAATCTATATATTATTCATACACTGCATGTATACTAATACATGTGTGTAACATGTACACACATTTTCCCCACAGTGTTTTTCTTAACATGTAGATATTACTTAATTCCATGCTGGAGACATAACTGTACTTTCTGCCTTACATGGTTGGGTGCAGCAGTCGTTTTAGTTGAGTTGGATCTGCTCACTACTCAGGCTGAAATCCCATCCTTCTATTAATATCTCTTGGCAAAGATAATTTTGGAAGAATGTAAGTTAAGATGTAGAGACTCTTGACAGTTGTCTGCAGTTTTTTTTCTCTCTCATTTTCAAGAGGGAAATGGAGTTGAAAAGTAATATTGCCTCCATTTTCTGTATCAATCTTAAAATTAAAATATGTGCACAAAGCAAAGATTAAAGGGAAAGGATTTGATTACACAGAAGTGTTTTTGTCACTTGGTTACATGTTCCAAGGATGTAAGGACATACAATAATGTTCATCATATTATGCCCTTGAGATATGTATTATCTAGAAAAATATTGTACAGTGAAATTTTAACTACTTGTATAATGTACAACTTTTGTTATCCTGTCATCTTATATCAAAGTGAAATAGGGGTGGGTTTTTTTTTTTTTTGGACTATTCACTGTACAAATTTTCAAACATGCAAAAAAGAAATACTGTAGCTGTTTAGATTTAAAAGTTGCTAACATTTGTCATTTTGCTTCACTTTTTTTCTAAAGGAATTCAAATTATATAAATCATGCCATTTTGTCCCTAAATACTTCAAAATATACCTCTAAGAATTTAGAACATTTACCTTATCAGATTGGTACCTAATAATGTCATTCCATTTTCAATTTTTTCTCATTGTCCAAAAAGTCTTTTATAGCTGCTATGTTCAAAACATGATTCTGTTGAGGTTTGTACATTGCTCTTGATCATTTTCCCCCTCCTCACTTTATGAAACTGACTTATTAAAGAAACCAAGCTACTTATCCTGCAGGATGTCCTACCTTATGGATTTGTCCATTTGTGTATCATTTAACTCATTCCCCTGGTCTCTATATTTCCTGTAGATTGCAAGTTAGTGAATTAAGTGTTGAGTAATTCATGTTAAAATTTTTTCATTAGAAAACTTTATAGGTTTTAGTGTACTTTACGCTACATCACAACTGAAGGCACAGAATATTTGGTGAACCCATTATCAGTGATGATAAGTGAAAGGATCGATCACTGGGTTAAGGTGATGACAGCTTGAACCTTCCACTATAAAGCTGTACTTAGAGCCCTGTGACTAGCATATAATCTATGATACTTTGATTCCTGCTCCCCGTCATCCTCTTACCTTATGAATTTAGCATCCATTGATGATCCTTGCCTTAATAAATTTCATCAGATTGCAAAGTGATGATTTTCTGTACATTTATTAGAGACATTTTTCTCTATAGTGTTTCTGAAAGATATTGTTTTAATTAAAAACATAACCGCCAGCATGTTCCTTGGGTCTCAGATGATTGTCTTTCTTTGCTGAGGTCAAAACACCTGAACTCACTGTGACAGCTACAGTAAAAACATGCACTGCATCTTCTTTATTCCAACTTGTGAAGTGTGTTGACATTATGCTGCCTTTTTTTATGTCGAGGGAAAAATCTTTTTTGGTATAAGAATAAAAATTAAACTATGTGGGTATATTGAGATAATTGTGTAAAAAGAAGACTCTTTGAATGAGTTTCAAAATGGATTATTTCTTCATTACCTAGCACTTTATAATTAACTGTTCTTTTCTTTTTTCCAGGAAGCTGCCACTTTTGCTAGAGAGCAAGGCTTTGAGGTGAGTTAACCCACAATTGCACACTAAACAGATCCTAAAGGTTTTTTCTAGCTGATAATGAAGTTCTTTTGGACAGTGATTGATGTGCTATTATACTCTCAGAGTCGCGCAGCAGTTGCCATGGAAACTTGGCAGTCGTCATGGTTTCTTTGTTCTGCCAGCACAGTGTTATGACGCACTCTGCTAGGTCTGCACCCAACATCGCCTACAGATGTTATTTATTGAATTTTGAAAAGCCTCTTGGGAAGCCAAGAGGTTGGGCACAGTTTCAAGCTGCCTCTGCAGATATGGGGCCTGTCAGTTTGTTCAGTTAAAAAGCTACCTCATTAGCTGCATTACATTTCATAAGGATTCACTGCTAAGGCAGTGGTGGAGCAAGACTAAATACTGAAATATAATGTCATTTAAATAATTTGAACCCTACCACGTGTAGATTATCATTATGCAAATTAATTTCCAAAAGATTGTACATTTGTTTGAAACTGATTAATTTAAATCCTTTTCATAAACTTTCCATTTGAATCTCTTTTTCTCTTTTTTTTTTTTTTAATAGTCTGAAACGTATAAATCTTAGGAAACTAAATCAATAATTGGCTTTAATTTCCAGGTCCTGATTCTGTTCTCCTGAGAAAAGCATTACCCTGTTAAGATTCAAAACTCCATGTGGTTTGTTGTTGGCAAAATTAAGATAGCAGACAAGACCATTTTTTTTCTATTTAATATCCAACCTCCAGTCAATTGTTAGTAAACACTGACTTTGATCTGAACCCAGGTTAACTGACAGAGACTTAACTGAGTTTATGAGTTTTATGATTATCATATTTATTGAGTAGTAACTATGTAGATTGTGTATTCTGTGCAACTTGGCATGTTACTGATTTTTAAGAATTTAATCTGTCTAGAGCTGGAATTTACAAACTCTCTCCTTACTTGCATACTCAGTATTGTCTGCCATCTAAAGAAGCTGGGAGCATTGATTGGATATATCAGTAAGCTCACTTAGAACTCTTTAGAGAAAGGTCTGTGCATTTTTTATGAAATTGTTACTCAAATGTATTAGAAGCAGATTCATTATTGAGCAATAAAGTAATACATGTGCATGTTGCACAAGTCATAAGAATTGGCAACCAGATATAGGGCTCGCTTGTCTTGGAGGAGAATGATGTGCATGTGGCTTAAGTATTTTCCTCTCAAGATCCTCTGTAAAAACTAAATAAAGATAGGAAACCTTGTCTCAACATGCTCAATTATTGGGAAATAGTATAGTTAGTTGGGAGTTTGCTTTTTTGTTTTACCATATTCTTGTAAATAAAGGATTGGGTCATATATAGAAGGAATAAAGATTTCCAATTTTTTAAATCTAATTTAAGCTTCACTTTGTAATTTCCCCAAATGACAATTGATATACTGTGGTATATCAATTAAAATGTATTTAAAATGTAATCAGGGGAATATTCAGTTTAAAAATCAAATGCTTTGATCATGAGAAAGTTAAGTTTCACTGTTTTAAAGTTTTAATGTTTTAAAGTTTCACTGAAGTTAAATTTTCATATCAAAAATTGATATTCCCTTGTTACATCAAAGTTCTCTACAGATGAAAATTTCTAGAACATAAATTTGTGTTTTCTGCACTAACAAAAATTGTATTTTGTTCTAGAAAATATAACCTATGTTGTAGATGTGAGAAATACCACATGTTGCATATCAATTTATCATAATTTTGTAGTCTAATTTTTTAATAATTTGTTGAATGTGTGCAATTCAATCTTGTATTGCCCTCTTGAGCTACATGATTTGAATATGCCTGTTTTAAATTCAGCCTGAGCAACAAACTACTTTTTCCATTTTTGACTAACCAATCCCATATTAACCTTTCTATTAGTTCTTACTTAATATGGAATTTCTTTTTAATCATAAAATCTGCCTTAATTGATTACAGCTTACAAGCAAAGTGATGATTATAATCATATTCTCTATTACTCCCCGACTTAGCAAAACTGCTTGGTTGGTGATGTTGGCATTGATATGTTAGACTGGAGGAGGTTACAGAGTGTATAGAGGTGTTGTCCATTCATGAGTTCCCTAAAGCATAACAAGCATTGCAGAATATACAAGAGTAAGCATTGTTAAGAAGATATAATCCAAGTATGAAATGTTATCTAGAGAATTTTAGTGATTTTAAAATGTTATTACAGTTTCCTTAGTTTGTTAGACAAATAGTATGAAAGCATAGGTTTGAAATTGGATATTTTTAAAGACTCAAAAAATAAAAATTCAAACACGAATAAGTCACTTTTTCTTAACAGTTTGATGTCTATAGAAAGGTGTTGATGCTCTCAAGTCTAATGTAACAAATGAGACAAAATCTGCATTTTATTCCTCCCAACTTTAATTTTGCCTCTAAATTTAGGGCATGAAAGGAGGGAAATGAAAAGGAAAGGAAGGTGAACATTTTTTTTCTTTCCTCTTCCCCTCATTTTCTGTCATAAATCCCAATCACTTCCCAAAGCCACTGGATATTGCCACAAGTGATCTGTGTGCTAGTAGTGATCTGTCTCCTAATGCCTTTAAAAATACAGTGTTTATTCATCAGGTAATGTGCTCACTGGCATTTTTATGATATTCTGATTAGCTTCTCTGCAAATTTTAGATAATCTTTCTTTTAAAAAAAATCTTTAATCTTTAAAATAAATTGGATAATTTTTAGTAAAAAGAAGAAGCTTAGGAGAGTACTGGAGAACGAGATTAAAAACTGGAGCTGGGCAGACCACAAAGCAAAAGGAGAGGCTGGAGATATATAGATATATAGATATATAGATATAGATATAGATATATAGATATATATACACACACACATACATACATACATACATACATATATATATATACACATACATATATGTGTGTGTGTGTATAATGGAAAATTGTATACTGCCTGATTTAAATGACAGACAGACCTGCTGAGAATTTAAAATGACAATTCTTGGAGCAAAAAGTTTCATGAGGCCTTTTATTATTCTGAAAATCAGTTCAGACTACACTGTGTATTTAAGTCTACCTTAAGTTGAGCTGAATTTTTAGAACCTAAATAAAAACCTGTGTTTTTAGAACCTAAATAAAAATAAGGGACTTGAAAATATGTAGCATTTTGAATGCTTTTGAAAGATATATCAAAATTTGATTTAAATTAAATAAAGAAAATATCCTCCCTCCCAAACCTAAAGGTGAATATTATTTGTACTTTCATTCACTGTGTAATATATTATAGTCTGTGCCAAATTATGACAGAATTCATACCTTCTCACCTGAATCATTTATTCAGTTTTAATCTAAGCAACAAATTTTAATTTTCTTATTTTTGAAATCTAATATAAAACTTTTCTGACCATAGAATAAGCAAATCATCCTTGTTCTAACTTCCTCCATAACTCTTGTCACTACCCAGAGGATCCCAAACTTTTAGCTTTTCTCGACCACTGATGACTTTATCATCTCATATCTCTGAGAGAGGAAATTAAGTAATGGTGTTATACAGCACACCATTCTCTAGCCACAAGTGGCTGTTTTAATTAAAATTAAATAATTTTTTAAAGACTTATTTTTATTTATTTATGCATACAAGAACTTGGGTGTAGGACACAGGTACAGGGGGTGAGAGAATTTACCAGAGACAGAGTAGGGAGCAGAACAGGCAGATCAACTGAAATACACTGCTGAGGGGAGCAGCGGGTGAGACAGGAGAGGTCTGCTGTCCCATATTTGGTTTAGTTTCCTGGCTGGGAATCAAACTCAGGCCACAACAATGGATGATAGCTTGATGGTGCTAAGACTTAACCCCTATGCCACCATGCATTCCTAAAATTAAATAAAATTTAATATCCATTTCCTCAGTCTCACTGGGTACATTTCAAATGTATATGGGCAGTGCAGGTATAGAATTTATATGTCATTATGGAAAGTTCCATTGATCAGCACTGATGGAAATGCATAGAGAGAGCATGCACAGAAAGTGTTGATTCACAAAAAATTCTCTAAGATTTTTCAGAAGTTCCTGTTTTCCTCACAAATATAGAGAATCCAATAAACAATCACCCAAGTTTCTGGAAATTAAAGGTTTTGGAAATGAGATACTAAGTCTGGTCCTGCTGGCTAGGAGGATACAACTGGGCTACTGAGTTCCCATAGAGGACAGTTTTTAAAAGTTAGATTAAAGAAAAGAGATAAGATAGTCTTCTAATTTTCATTATCATTTATTCAGTCAATAAATATTTACTGAACACTAACTCTTTTTCTAAACTTTTGTTAGGCACTGAAGACAAGTTTCATTAAAAATGGTCAGAGAGCATACCATGAAAGTGAATGTGGGGTACATATCCCATTTTAGATAATAATTGTCAAAATGACTGTCCAAGGACATAAAACTTGAAAAATATGAATATCTAGCTATGAAAGAAAATAATCAGAGAAACAAATTTCAAACAGGAGTAAGAATATAAAGGCCCCAAATAAGAAATAGCATAATGTACTAAGTTCAGTGCAGTAGCATGAACTTTCAGAGGGCCAATATGCTTGGAACCAAGTGAGGAAGCATATAGATAGTGACAGTATTATCAGCTTGTTAATAAATATGTGAAGAGGTATATTCTTTAATTAGAATACACTGCTAAATTTAAGGTGTATGATCACCAGTGACAATAAAAGCATACTTTCACATACATTAAATGATTCTCCACAGTGTATAAAATCTTTTCCAACACATCATTAATGTATTTAATATTCACACAAACGTCAGGGGTAGATAAGGCAAGTGTTGCCATATCAGTTCCGCAGATAAAATAGTCGCTTTGACTTGTTCAAGTTCTCATTGCTTAGATATCTAAGTGACCTTGGAAAATGATGAAATTCAAAAATTGAAATTCACTATGATAAAACCAAAAAAAGAATATTTAAGAAAGAAATAAAAAATACAAGATCTGAACTGACTTGTGAATGTTGTAGAAAAATTATTAGGGTGAACACCCTATGGTTTTGTGGTAACAAAAAGTACATTGCCAGAGTTCATAGAAACTGTATAATCTGTAGATAATAGGGAATAATTCCTAAGAGTATAATCCCTAGAGTCAGGTTTTGTGGCTGTTAATCTGGGCACTACTACCTACTATACTTATGAACTTAGAACTTAACCTCTATGACTCAATTTCTTCACCTATAAAGTGAAGATATAGTAATAGTACTTATTGCCAAGGGTAGTTTAAAATGTATTACATATTTTAGATCTATATACATGATTGTTAGTTTCTGCATCTATAAAATGGGGGTTAAGTAATATTTCTACTGCCCAGATTTAATAAGCATCTTAGAGCTATAGATATAGCTCATAGCTAAATTGTATGGGCTTTGTTCTGCTTTTCTTCACCCTTTCCTTCTTTTTCATCCCTTATTTTATACCATAATTGAATTGGCAAAACTCTCAACACCCTTTCTAAAAGATTTTGATGTAACCCCAATATGTGGCACTTTTAAGGAACTTTAATTTGATAGTCATTAGAGGAAAAATGTTCATTAAGTGCTTAGCACGTGCTAAGTATTACAAGCTCTTTCACTTTCCTTATTCACGTTCATCCTCACAATTGTTTTTAACTTTTTAATCTTTAAATAATTTTAAACTTAGAAAAATTGCAAAAGTAATACATAGAGTGCCCAGATATCCTTCACTCAACTTCCCTAAAATTAACATCTATACAAGGTATAATAATCAAAGCCAGGAAATTAACACTGATACAATAGAAATAACTGAACTATAGACTTCATTCAGATTTCACCAATTTTTCCTCTAATTTCCTTTTTCTGTTCTAGAATCAACAGCAAGGTCACACATTTATTTGTCATGTCTCCTTAATCTCTTCCTGTCTGTAACATTTTCTCTTTCCTTGTTGTTCAAGATCTTGATACTTTTGAAGGATACTTGTCATTCATTTTGTAGAATGTCCCTCAATTTGAGTTTGTCTGATATTTCCTCATAATTATGTTTGAAGTAATGCATTTTTAACAGAAATCCACATAAGTGATGTATCCCCCATAGTACATCATTTCAGGGATGTACATGATATCCTTATGTCTTCTTAATGATGATGTTAACCTTTACCACTGGGTTAAGGTGGTGTCCATTTATCCTCTGTAAAATTACTGTTCTCCCATGGGAGTTAATAAATGTCTTGGGGTGACATTTTGGGATTCTGAAAACATACTATTTTAGCATCACTAAGTGTGATCATTGGGTTAAGATGATATGCAACAACTTTCTTCTTTGTAGCATTACTCTTTTTTATTTTTGTAATGATTAAGTATCATAGTAGGAAATACTTTGTTGACTAGACAAATGTCCTGATTCTCTTCAAACTTTTGCCCACCGATTTTAGCATGCTTCATTCTAACATCTTTTAACATATTATTTAGTTTCTTTGTTTTATAGATACAAATATCAAATCTATATGGGTTATATTCTAAAGTCTCTTGTAATTTCATTATTCTGCTAAGATGTGTTAGCCTAAGTGTAATAGAGAAGACTTTACTAGGATAAAATTGTGGGAGAGTGATATACATTTGAGAAGACAAAATTGAGGTTTTAAGAAAAGTTTTCTATGGGTATCATTATTGCAGTAAAGGCTCCTCAAAGCATCATGAGAAATTTAGATGAGGTGTTCACTGACAGTGTCCCAGAGTGACAAAGGGATTTTGTATGAACTTAGCTATAGGTACAAATAAAATATACTTCAACCATCCTGCAGAGATAATGTTTTGTATTTGGAAAGTTTATTTCAGTCTTGAATGATCATTTTTGTTACTTAATGTGAGACATAAGATTTCCTTAATTAGGTTACCAAAACTCCCATAAAACAGTATCTTCCCAGAGGGTTGGCAGAAATCAACTGTGGATTCTCATTCTTTTCTGAAAATTTTTTTCTTTTTCTTTTTTTTCATTTTTGTGCAGAAGAACTGGGGTGTAGGCCAGAGGTGCGGGGTCAGGGGAGGTCAGTGAGAGAATTCGCCAGAGACAGAGTGGGGAGTGGAACAGGCGGATTTACTGAAATACACTGCTAAGGTGAGCAGTGGACCGAAAGGAGAAGTCTGCTGTGCCATATGTGGGTTAGCTCTCTGGCAGGGGATCAAACTCAGACTGTACCAGTAGTAGTGCTGAGACTTAAGCTCCAGGCCACCAGGGAGCCCCAGGGATTCTTATACAACCTTGAAGAAAGGCCTCTGTTTAGAAAACATCCAGTACATGCATAAGATTCTATTCCCAAGATGATAGAGTGAATGTTTCTTGTATAAATATGAACTATACTCAATAATAAAGAAAAGTGCTACAATAGTAAAATATATTTGTAGCAAGGAGACTGGGAGGATATGTGTGAGTCATTTTCATTAAATGCATATATTAATTTGAAAGAATGAAGATATTGTTATAATATGGCAATTTTTGGACCTTTCAGCTGTTACTAGTCATTTCTAATGATTTCTCCTCCAAACTGGGAGTTTCTTTTCTCATCTTATCAAAATTCTGTTCTAAAATAAGCAACCAAAGCCAAATAGTTAGCATGTTTGAAAGGTCAGCAGCATTGTCCAACTACAAGTGACTATTCTTTTCAGAAGCTACAGTTCTCTGCAATCATCATGTAGGTATAGAAGAAGCTTAGCTTTATATATCATCTAAAGTTATGAAGTGAACAAACAATTGTTATTGCTAACAATTGTTATAGCTTCAAAAATATAATCGCCTCTGTTGTTACTTGTATCCTAATTAACTTAGTTTACATTACTCAGATATATTTCCCCTCTGAAATGTTTCTTTTCCTATAATTTTTTGAAACTTTTCACAGTGATAGAATAAACTACTTACAGTGCCCAAACCATTGACAGTTTTAGAGACTCATTCAATTTAGACATATATTTTTAAATTATCTAAAATTTAAGGATTACTCTAGAAATCCTACCTGTAACTCATGTGTTAGAGTCAAGTCAGAATATGATATAAAATATCATGCCCTATTTAATTTGAAAAATAACACCATGGTTTTTAGAATTAATTTGTAATTTCTTAACTTTATCTTCTTTATAGGAAACATCTCTTTCATATCTTTGAAAACTTTGGTATTATATCAACTGTATTATTTGTAAAGTCAGTGTAATTATGTCTGATAAACCTCCAAAACAATTTATTAATCCTCTTTTTACAAATCTCTCTTAAATTGGAAATTTGAAAGCTGTATATTATTAGAAATTGTTATTAATTTTTTTAATATTATAATTATGCGATTATGTTATTATCTTTCCAAGGTGCATACTAAAAAATTTACAGGTGATATTACATAGTACCTAGAAACTTACTTCTAAATAATATCTAAAGTCAGTAGGTGAGAGGGTAAGAGTGCAGATGAACTAAGATTTATAATAAATTTAAATTATTATAGTTTGATGGCAGGTTCCTTGGAGATTATTGGACTAGTCTGTTTCCTTTTGTATGTGGCAAAAAATTTTTTTAATAATTCTTAATAGATTTTTCCAGTCTGTCTTATTTTGATCCTGAGAATCTAAATCCTTAATCTACTAACAAAATTTTGCTTTATTGTACCAGTTACGAAAATTTTTCTCTCCTCTCTTTTAATAGGCTGAAGACATTAAAGAGATAGCCAAAAAGACGCAAGCTATTCCAAAGGTGAACTCAAAGAGGCAGCGAATTGTGATTTTCACCCAAGGGAAAGATGATACTATAATGGCTACAGGTACTGTGCAAACATTGTGGGAAACTCAGTATTATAGACATTAATCATTTGTAACAAAATTTCTATATTTTTCTATTATAAATTCTTTAAAACAATGTACCTATTTCTCTTTCATTCCTTTTTAACCAGCTTCATACATCTTGCCTGCCTTCTAGCCCATGCCCAGCTTCCACCTCTGGCAACCTTTTTTGTATCTATGACTTAAGTTTGTTTTGTTTTCTTTTTTAAAGATTCCTGGTATAGATGAGGTCATATAGTATTTATCTGTCTCTAGCATACTTAATTTAGCAGAAAGCCCTCAAGATCCATACTTTTTTGCAAATGACAGGATTGCTTTTATTATTATGACTAATAATAGAAGAGTGTGTGTGTGTGTGTGTGTGTGTGTGTTCATCCCATATTTTCTTTATCCACTCACTAATTGACTGATACTTGGGTTATTTTCATGTCCTGGCTATGGTAAATAATGCTACAATGAACATGGGAATATATATATTTTTCAAGTTAGTGTTTTCCTTTACTTCAGATAAACACCCTGAATTGAGAGTATTAGATCATATGGTGGCTCTGTTTTTAATTTGAGGAACCTCCATAATTTTTCCATGGAGGCTGCACCAATGTACATTCCCACCAGCAGAACCCAAAGGTTTCCTTTTCTTCACAACTTCACCAACACTTGTTATTCTTGTGTAGCCATTCTAACAGGTGTGAGATTATATCTCATTGTGGTTTTGACTTGGATTTACCTAATGATTACTTAAGTTGGGTACTTTTTCATGTACCCATTAGCCATTTGTATGTCTTCTTTAGAAAAATGTTTATTCATATTCTATGGCCATTTTTAAATTATATTTTGTTTCTTGCTGTTGGGCTATATGATTTCTTTATATTTTTTAATATTTATCCCTTATTGGATACATAATTTGCAAATACTTTCTCCCATTGCATCTGCTGTCCATATTTCCCCACATCGTTTATCAAAGAATCAGTCTTTACTCCTTGTATATTTTTGTGTTCTTTGTTGTAAATTAACTGACCGTATATGTTTGGGTTTTTTTCTAGTTATTCTGTTCCATTGAGCTATGAGTCTGTTTTTATGTCAGTGACATACTGTTTGGTTATGTAATTTAAAATCAGAAAGTGTGATGCTTTTAGCCTTGTTCTTCTTTCTCAGGATAACTTTGGCTACTCAGGCTCTTTTGAGATTTCTTACAAATTTTGGAATGTTCATTACTTTTCTATGAAAATGTGCATATTATGTTTTTTTTTTTATTTTAGTAAACATATCTCCCTTCTATCTCAGGAGAAACGGTTTTATTTTCAAAAAAATAATTTTTTGAAAGGGAATTGAGTAAAATCACTCTGATGTAGTTTATAATTACTTTGCTATTTTGGAGATCATGTCAGTCTAGAAATGTCTTTTCTGAAAAAAGAAAGATACAAATAACTGCTGTAATATGATAAATTTATTTAATTATGAACAAATAAAATACAGAAATAGGTATTTATTGGTATTAAATATCAAGAAAAAAATCTTTTTTATTCAACTATCTCTTTTATGGGACTCAAATATAGAATAGAAATTTCATCTACTAAACAAATATTTCCTTGATTAAAATGATTAATCCTTTGCTATTTGCTATTATAGTCAAAATACATACCTTTAATGCTATCTGAAGTATTAAGATTAAAACCATCCAATTAATTAATAGATATTATAAATAGTAGCAATTATTATCTTTGTGTTTATTTAGTACTCTCCCGAACACTGAAATTTAAGATGTGAACCTTAAAAATCTAATTGAGAAATAAAAGTAATAAATCTCAAAATGTGAATGCAAAGAAGTATAATTACACATCATAATTATTAGCGTAGACTATAATTGGTTGTAACAAGATTCAGAGATAGTTTGTAGTTTTCCTAAGATGTATTAGTGTCCTTGCTAATAAGTCAGTGTTCTAGGAAGGATTTTTTAAAACTAGGGCAATCCAGTCAAAGATCATGTGAGCTAAGGGTACCAAATAATATCCAGTTTTTTATTGTTGTGGCAGGAAAAGCCATGTTGTTAATTTGCACAGAGAAAAGAAACATATGTCATGAAAAGTTATCCCTTAATTGCTAATGACTATCTGAGTTTCTGTCTTTCTATATTATGTGACTTGTTCCTGTCTTAGCAATGAGCACTGTTTGGAAAAGTGAGAAATATACAGCTTTGGTATCTTGTAAGAACTGAAATGCTGCCTCCAGATTCATAAAATCCTGCTTGGCTGCTCTTTATGGAGACATTTGTTTTAAGATTTTATACATTCCACAGAAAGACAGAGATAGATTAATAGATAGATAGATAGATAGATAGATAGATAGATAGATAGATAGATAGATAGATAGATAGACAGACAGGCATCTTCTCCCAAATTGAAACCTTTAAAATTAGCTTCCCCATTCTGTAAATGAATTTTCTTGTCAAGTCATTTTGTTCTTTATTAAAATCTATTAAACCATTCTTAGGAATGCTTACCAGGAGGAATTTATTTGAGGAAAGGCAGTGGCTAATCTTTACTTTTCCCACTATATGAAAATGAACTTAAATTAGAGGATGTACTATATCTGCAATGCATGATAAATACAAGATGGATAGAGAATCTGTTCAGTGGTGTCAGCTACAAAAGCAAACATGATAAATGTTAATGCAGTTTTGAGCCCTGGGATAAGCTATTCAGTGCACAAGCATAGCTGAATCTCTTTGCTATGTTGTTATTCATGGCAGCCAAATAAATGTCAATAATAAAAGAGAATTAAAGATTTTCATTTCCCAGAGGCAATCCTCTAATACGGCTTGATCTTTCATTTCATTTGTAATTCGTTCTCATGTCAGGATGCAATCATTCGCCAGGCACTGGGTGTCATGTTAAGTCATTTAATAATGATTAAGAACATAAAAATGCTTGGCCTGTGGGGCAATTCACAGAAGAGATGCCAATTTGTTATTGTTTTCCCTCCTTTCCTCTTGAATATGGATCAGTTTTTTCCCACCTCCTAGCATTAATATACTAATGGAAGATGGGAAGGGAAAATGTCCCTGCATCTAACATAAGTGGCATTCCAGAATGGTACAAGGCAGTGCTAACACACTTATTAAAACACTAATTAGGAATCATTGTTCCTGAACCTCACACTGTAAGGCACTTTTAAATGATTGCTGCTAAGTTTGTAGCATTTAGCAATAATGTAACAAAATCAGCTTCTTTGGATTTTAATTCTAGAGATCTTTCTCCTTTGGCTATATTTATAAACTCCTTTCACTTATAAGTATAATTTTTTTGATTTCTCTTTTGAAAGTTGTCTGTGAATCTGTAGTCTTTTCTATTTTTCCTGTTTTTTGGTCACCTGTATTTCAGATTGGATATCCATCCTCTGTATCAGCTCATCCAGAGGTTTTGTCACATATCAATCTTTATTTCATTGCTTGCAGGCTAAATGAGTTCCGAGCTTTTTTTTGGGGGGTGAGGTGGGAGGTTGCACTGGGAAGTAATAAGAATAACAGGCTGGAATGAGGGCAGAAAAGATGATTCTGTCCATTTTGATCCTTTTAATAAATGTTGAATCGAACCTATTAGGTAGCATGGGAGTCAAATCAAGGGAACTCATTTCTGTCTATAAATATGAGAAAAACTAAGAGTGAAGATTTGTATTATCTGCTAGGTAGCAACTATGAGGTCTTCATGTGAGCATGCCACTGAGGGACCCCCAAATAGCATCCTCTAAAATGAGGTCATTTCACCCATCACATAAAGACAAAGGAATAATACTCTTGGTGTGATAGATTTTTAATTGAATAGTGTACATAAAGAGAAGAAAGTTCCTAATAAGAATTTCCCAATTAAGCACCCCAAATTACCCATCCCCTCCTGAGTAAATGCCCAGCCAAATAGGATTCAGACACACAGGGTTAGCCCAAAGCAGGGCCATGGAGGCATGGAAGCTTGCAAGTTTAAGGCGCTTTCTGGAGGTGAACCATAGGAAGGGGCTTCTGAGTAGGTCCCAGAAAGCTGGAACAGAAGGAGATACAACATCAAGAGAATGACTGCTGTTGTCAGCACCCCCCACTTCTCACCCCCGTGTCTATATCAAGTCTCTACTTGTCTCTTCTCCTCGTGTCTCCTTCCAAGTCTCCTTCCTAGCAATACCTGCAACTTGAGCTGTCTGAACAAGAGCTCTCTCCAGAGCCCACCTGCCTTCTGCGTTATATAGCTTTACCTGGCCACTCAGCTACACACCTCGTTCCCAACAGCACACTAGGACCTGTAGTCCACGGAGACTGCATCTAAGTGGGGTTGGAGAAAATGGCACCTCCCTTCAACAGAGATGTATCTGTAACATTCATATATTAAAATTCTATCATATTAAGGATTGTAATGAAAAACAAATATCATATAAATACATGCTTACATATGTGTGTATATGTATGTCTTATAGAAACTTTAAATTTCTTCGTATTCTATACTAACTATAGCTCTAAAAATTGGGAAAAGCTATAGGACTTTTGTTCCAAATTGAAAATAATACATTTTACACAGTGGCTTTTCTTAAACAATGAAAGAAGAATAAATTGTAGACTTTTTAATTCTGAATACTTAAAAGAATTCTTTCTGGATTGTTTGAATTGTAATTTTGCCCAAAGAGAGAAAATAGATTAGGTCATAGTTTTTCAACTGTAAGACTGGTGCTTTCATTTCAGAATCACTTAGTAGGCTTTTAGTAAATATAACCTTGCCTTCATGGAAACACCATCCCCTCATTTGATACATCACTGTGAGGAGTGTTAAAATATACATCCTCGAGAAGATGAATGAGAAAGAGGGTGGTGGGGTCTGGAGGAAGGGTAGAGTTGTGTATCTGTTGAAACAGCTCCCTTAGGTGATAAAGCAATGCTGTCTATTCTCCAGCTTTCACTTTGAGAACCACTGGATTTGGTGATTTGAAATTGTTGGTTCAAGTT